GGGCCGGGCCGGGCTCAGGAGCGGGCGGGCGATGCGGGCGGCCGGGCCGGGGTCCGCGGGCCCCTGAGCCCCGCGAGCGCCGAGCGCCAAGCCGGCCGCCATGGCCGGGGTCAGCTACGCGGCGCCCTGGTGGGTGAGCCTCCTGCACCGGCTCCCCCACTTGAACCTGCAGTGGGAGGTCACCAGCAGCCGGTTCCGGCCCGAGGACAGCGACTACCAGCAGGTGAGGCGGCCTGGCCCCTGGGTCCTAGTCCTGCACGCCAGGGTCACAACACCCCCTGCCCCGGTGTCACTATAACCCCTCCTCCACTGCCACTTCACCCCCTCTACGTGTCCTCCCCCAAGATCACTGTGTAACTCCCTTCCCCAGTGGCACTGCACCCCCTTTCCAAGGGTCCCAGGACCCTGGGCTAGGATTCCCCTCCTCTGAGGATCATCCTCCCCGCAGGCTGGCCCCCTCCCCAAGGATCACGGCCCTCCTCAGAAATTACAGCCCTCTTCTCAATGGTCTGAAGCCCCCCACTGCCACAACCCCTCCAGGATCCATCCCTCTCTGGGCCCTGAGCCCCTCTCCCCCTTGGACACCCCTCACATCCCCTCCCTGCAAGCTAGCTGTCAGTTCCATCTGGCCCCCTCTGTCCTTCCCAGGAGCCAGGGGTCTCAGCACAGAGCTGCTAGCCAAGAGCCCCCCTAGCCAGGGAATCCTCCCACTGTGCTGGTGGGTGAGTGGTCTGTGCCCATGCCAGCCCTCCAGACCGCCAGTGACCCGCTGCTCTGTGGGATTGGTACGTGAACCAGGTGGGTCAGAGCAGAGACTAGGCTGCCCATGTCGGGGGTGGGGGTGGGTGGCGGGTGGGGGGCAGGAAGGCCTGGACTGAGGTGAGCCTTGGGCCAGACTGGTGGGGTCCGAGCTGGCAGGGCAGCCCTCAGAGGCCTGTGGTCCGGCTCTCCTTGTCCACCTCCAGGGCCTGGCTGCATGCCAAGCCAGAGCCACCCCTGGGGCTGGCCCGCCGTCTGGCATCCGGGCAGGGAGCCCATGGTAGTTCTGTCCTTCCTGCCTGGGCATCCAACTCTAGAAAGAAGTCCTATGGCCTGGGGTGCCAGTGACTGGAGCCGCCCCCCTCTCTTCAGAGTCCCCAGGGTGGGATGGGGCTGGACTTATGCTGCAGGGAGTCTGTGGACACTGGTCTTGTGGCCTGCCCCGCCTAGTGGAGCCCCGAAGTACAGGATGGAGGACCCGGGGCTATGTGGGGGTGCTAACCTGCTGCTCAGGCCCCCTGTTTCTGAGCACCTCAGTGCCAGCCCAGGCATGCCCAGAACCCAGGTGGAGGGAGGGAGGCATTCCCACGGTCCAGCTCCATCCTTGGACTGCTTGGTGGGGGGCATCCACCTCCACCAAGCACCCCACAAACTTCCAAGTGGGGTCATCCTGGGGGCAAGGAGGGGTCCATCTCCCCTCCTGCCCAATCTCTGCCCTGAGCGCTTGGGCCTGCCTGTGTGTGAACCCCAGGGTGTTTGCTGGTCTCCCCTTGGCTTTCTGGGGTGCCTGCTTATCAAGTCTGGAATTCCAGGACAGTGGCGGGGGTGTGATGGATGGGGGCCTTGTTTGAGGGAGCCCTGCTGTCCCCCAAGCACTGAGCCTGCCGTGGGCGGCTGTGCCTCCCCCGGCTCCCGCTTTAGCCGCTGAATAATTCACAGCGTGGAAACCTGCGTCTCCAGGCCAGCCGCCTCCGCTCTGCTCGCTTGCAGCAGCAGCTGCAGCGCGGGGCCATGGGAAGGCAGCCTGTGTGACGCCCCGCTCCCCTGCATGTCCGGGGCCCTCTGCTCGGAGTAGAGGCAGCAGCGGGGTGCTGTGGGAAGGCAGGGCTGCGTGTCCTGGGGCCCCAGAGGCCTCTTTGGGGCCTGTCTCTGCATGCCACCATCTGGGTCTGGGGGCTTCACTGGC